CTCCCCGGCCCCGGCTTCCACAGCCTCCCCGGGCCCAGCCTCCCGGGGCCCCATGGCCTCCCCGGCCCCACGGCCTCCCCAGGCCACGGCCTCCTCGGGCCCACGGTCTCCAGGCGTCTCGGGCGCAGGGAGGGGAAGGGCCGGGGTCTCGGGACCCTGGAGGAGAGGCGACCACACACCGCGGGAGACAGCGGGCTATTGGAATGAATGACACGGATGTCGGTCGTTGTTTTCATCCCCTCATTCTGCAAGCGTGAGAGGGCGATGCAGAACGTTCTGGAAGCATGGCAGGGCTGTGGGGGATTTGGGGTTCAGGGACACATACACGATCGCTTTTGATGGCAACTAATCGTAGGTGCTAACGATGGACCAATGGGTATCTGCATTGTTCAAGTTCTGTCGTTCTTGGGGTGTGTGCATGTGTGCGCGTGAGTGTGTGCGCGTGCATGCACACACATGCCGGTACTGGGGCTTGAACTCAGGGTCTCACACTCTTGCTTGGGCTTTTTTGCTCAAGGCTGGCGCTCTGTCACACCTCCTCTTCCGGCTTTTTGCTGGTGATTCGAGGCGAGCCTCTCAGATGTGCTGCCTGGTTGGCTTTGAACTGGCGCCCGCAGCGCCCAGCCTTCCTGTAACCACAATCACGGGTGTGAGACCCCAGTGCCCCACACTCTCATCTTTCTTATTTTATTTTCATTCATTTTTCTAGTAACATCTGAAGATGAACTTCCAAAAAGTCTTCAAACTTTCTAGAACAGCTCCTGACAGACACATTCCATCTTTAATTTTTTTTTTTTTTGTCGGTCCTGAGTCTTGAACTCTGGTCCTGGGCGCTGTCCCTCAGCTCTTCAGCTCAAGGCGAGCGCTCTACCACTTGAGCCACAGCACCACTTCCGGTTTTCTGGTGGTTCATTGGAGATAAGAGTCTCACGGAGTTTCCTGCCCAGGTGGCTTTGAACTGCGATCCTCAGATCTCGGCCTCCTGAGTGGCTGCCTGAGCCGGCGCTCGGTGGCATTTCCGCTTTCCAAAGCCATACGTGTACCCTAGGCCGCAATGCAGGTTTTCTTTGTTTTTCTGAACGGGGCCCACAGTTCATTACACAAGCCAAGGGGTGCTCAGGTGTACTTAGTGGGGTGGGCCCTGGTGTGGGGGGGCAGGTGGCCTGAAGTGGGGACCACCTGGAGCGAGAAGAAGGCAGCCCGGAGGGCTCCGAGCCCCAGCTCCCAGCACGCCTGTGTGCAGGTGCCCGGGCCCTGAAGGAGGCGCCATGCTGTGTGTGTGGGGGGGAGGGGTGCTTGCGTGGGGACTGGCCCTCTGTTGGCCTCTTGTAAGGGAGTGCTGACCACTGCGAACCAAGGAGGTTTTGGAAGAGAGGCTGATTGAGAGGTTTTACTCTGCACAGGCCCCGGGGCTGGACCTAAACAAGCCTCACAGTTTGGGAGAGCTGCCTCTCAGTCAGCCCGCAGGAGGCAGCGCATCTGCTTGGTTGATAGGAGAGGGTGGCACTTTTCTAAGATCAGTAGTTATTTAGAGTGACAGCAGAGGGGCTGTATCTGCGCCATTCCCTGTCACCTAGGGACGATGCGTCTCTTAGCAAAGCTTAAAGGTCCTCACCAACGCCACCCTGCCAGCCTTCTCCCCCACCCTCAGCACAATGCTGGGGTGCCTCTTTCTCATGATCACTCCCCCTGGTTAGAATACCTCTCCTCTCTTTCACCTAGCTCAGAGACATGAGCTATGTCCTCATCTTATCTTTATGACCTTAGTTTCTTGGTCCTGAGAAGTAGCCAAATAGGAGGGCTGTGTAGGTAGATGGGTTGATAAATATTTGGAAGGGAAGATAAGTGGATGGTGAATGCATGGATGGAGGGATGAATACTGGCTGGATAGAAGTGCTGGATAGAATCTTGGTGAATGGATAGATGAGCAGGTGGATGATAGATGAATGGGTGGGTGCATAGACAAATGTAAAGATGGGAAGATATATGTATATGATGGATGGATGGGGGTAGATGGCTGGTAAATGGATGAATAATGGATGGATGGTGGATTGGCAGATGGATGAATGTATAGATAGATGGATATATGTGGGTGGGGGATGGTTGGTGGAGGGATGGATGGATGGTGGGTGGGTGGATAAATGGGTAGGTGAGTGGATAGATGGATGGATGGGTAGATGAGTAGATGGATGGATGGGTAGTTGGGTAGATGAGGGGATGGTGGGTAGATGGATGCTAGGTGATAGATGGGTGGGGGGATAGATGGGTAGACGGATAGATGAGTGGATAGACGGACAGGTAATGGGTACATGGATGAAGATGGATGCTAGGTGGATAGATGGGTGAATGGATGGATGGGTAGATGAATAGATGGGTAGATGAGTGGATGGATGGATGGATAATGGGTAGATGAGTGGATGGATGGATGGATAATGGGTAGGTAAGTGGATGGATGGGTAGATTTAAAAAATTAGCAAGTACCCACAATGTGTTAGATAGTTGTGTAGAAGTTCATATCAAACATAAGGGTTTAAAAACTGAAGTTGGAAACTAATGTTGAAATAAGCTTGTGCTGTCCGTGCTGGGTGTGATCAGTGTCCTTGTCAGGAAGTGGCTCACGGGCTGGGAAGGTGGCTCAGTGGTAGAGCGCTTGCCTTGCATGCCTGAGGCCCTGGGTTCGATGCCTCAGCACCACAGCAAAAAGAAAAAAGCCGGAAGTGGCGCTGTGGCTCACGTGGTAGAGCGCTAGCCTTGAGCTGAAGAGCTGAGGGACAGCACCCAGGCCCAGAGTTCAGGCCCCACAACCAGACCCCCAAAAAATTAAAAAAGAAAGAAAATAGGAAGTGGGTGAAGGCTGGGAAAGTCGGGGGGCCGCTTCTCTGAGGAAGGACATCAAAGGAGTTTTAGTCCCTGACTTGTCCTGTGAGGTGGAACGGACTCTGTTCAGAGAAGCTGACATCATTGTAGAACTTTCTTTTTTTTTTTTTTTTGGTCGGTCGGGGGGTTTAACTCTGGGCCTGGGCGCTGTCCCTCAGCTCTTCAGCTCAAGGCGAGCGCTCTACCACTTGAGCCACAGCGCCACTTCCGGTTTTCTGGTGGTTTATTGGAGATAGGAGTCTCACGGTCTCTCCTGCCCAGGCTGGCTTTGAACCGCGATCCTCAGATCTCAGCCTCCTGAGTAGCTAGGATTACAGGCGTGAGCCACCAGCGCTCGGCTTGTAGAACTTTCTTACTGCTGTGCTTCATGTGGGGGGGGGGAGGAAGAGAGGAGGGAGGACAGAAAGAGGGACAGAGAGAGAGACAGAGAGATTCTGGGGCTCAAATTCAGGGCTTTATGCTTTTGTTGAGCTTTCTCCCCCAAAGCTAGTTAGTGCTTTCACCACTTGAGCCAGAGCTCCGCTGCTGGTTTTTCAGGAGTCCATTGGAGATGAGTCTCATGGATTTTCCTTCCCGGGCTGGCTTTGAACTGTGATCCTGACTCGCTGGGATTCCGGGCGTGCAGCCCCAGTGCTGTTTCTTTAGAGGGAACCGGTGTGGGTGCTGCCGCTGCCGCTGGGCGGCTCTGACGCCGGCGTCCGCTCCTCCGGATCTGGTGGAAGCAGGGAAAAAAATCTTCAGGGAGCCAAGGGGGTGGCTGTGACCCCGGGAGGAGCACTCAGGGTCCCCCCACCTCTGGTCTTTTGGGAGTCAGGAAAAAGCAAAACGAGGCCTGGATATGGAGCCCGGGGCCTCCCACAGCCTGGCGTGACCGGCCTGGCAGCCTTGGACCCGCTCACAGGGTGGACGGGCCGTGCTGGGGTGTGTGTGTATGGGGAGAGTGGCCCCGACCACCCCGGGCCGACGCAACGCCACACTCCCGAGTGCCAGGGTGGGCGCTGGCGCCCTGACCAGGCCCCCCGGCCGCTTCCCCGCAGGGACTCCCAGACGCGCCGCCCACGATGACCGCGCCGGCGGCCAGCGGCAGCCCCGCGGGCGACGCGCTCTGCCCGGGCCTGGCCCCGCAGGACTCATGCAGGGCGCACGTCTCCAGCTACGCGGGGTCCCTGACACGTCACATCAGCCACCGGGCCAACAACTTCAAGCGACACCCCAAGAGGAGGAAGTGCATTCGACCCTCTCCGCCCCCGCCCCCCAACACCCCCTGCCCCCTGGAGCTGGTGGACTTTGGGGACCTGCACCCCCAGAGGTCCTTCCGGGAGCTGCTGTTCAATGGTTGCATCCTGTTTGGCATTGAGTTCAGCTACGCCATGGAGACGGCTTATGTGACCCCCGTGCTCCTGCAGATGGGCCTGCCCGACCAGCTCTACAGCCTGGTGTGGTTCATCAGCCCCATCCTCGGTGAGCCCAGCCTGCCCTGGTGACCATGCCCCTGGAAAATTCTGGAAGCTTCTAGAAGCCTCAATGGAAGCCACTTGAGGGTCTCCCAAGGGACCAGGGAGGAGCAAGAGTTAAGTCCCCTCTAACTGGGCTGTACAGATAGGCTGGTTGTGCCTACTGTATTGTTTTTGTTGGTACCTGTCCTGGGATTGGCGCTCAGGGTCTGGGCAGTGTTGCCGAGCTTTTGCCGCTCAAGGCGAGCGCTCTACCACTGGAGCACAGCTCCACTTTGTTTTTTTTTTTTTGTGGTTAATTGGGAGATCAGAGTCTCATGGACTTTCCTGACCAGGCTGGCTTCAAACTGAGATCCTCAGATCGCAGCCTCCTGAGTAGCTAGGGTGACAGGTGAGAGCCACCAGCGCCCAGCCAAGCAATAGGAAGGAAGTTAGCCACCAAGGAATCCGCCATCTTAACTTTGTGGATTCCTGGTGTGGCTTCTTAGTGGCCTTGTAGGATCCAAAGTGGATGATTCCAGATGATTCCAGAAGTCTGGTTCTCTGCCTTCTGTGCCCTGGTCTTTTGGCGTGCTGGGCGGTGGGAGGGCAGGTCCCTGGCCAGCGTGGCAGGGGTGTCCTGGGCCCCCCAGCTCTGACCCAGGCCTGCTCTGTTTCAGGATTTCTGCTGCAGCCTCTGTTGGGTGCTTGGAGTGACAGATGTGCCTCAAGGTTTGGAAGGAGGCGCCCTTTCATTCTTGTCCTGGCCATAGGTCTGTTGTTTTAGCATGGAAATAAAACAGAAAAAAAAAAAAAAGCCCCAATTGCTTCCTTTTAGGAAAAGCTAAAAAGCCTGAGCAAAGCCATCTCCGGCGACCCCGGGGCCGCGCTCCCCAGGCGTCTCCAGGCCCTGTCCCCTAACCCAGCTCGGAGAAGGAACCACTGGGATTGTTGTGGTTGTTAATGCCTGTGGTCCTGAGGACTTCTTTGATCATTTTTAATGAGTTAGTGAAGTGCAGCTCAGTCCTGCTCTGCTTCCCTGGGGAAAAACTGACCGAGTATGAACACTATGGTAGCTGCAGGTGAGGTCTCCCGGCTCTGCTTCAAGGGTCCTCGATTCTCCACCAGGTAGCGAGCCGTGGGGCAGGGCTGGCCCGTGTCCTCCAAGTGACTCGGTCTTTCTCCTTCCAGGGGCATTGCTGGGCCTGTCCCTCCTGCTGAACGGCAGGGACATCGGCCTGGCCCTGGCCGACACGGCCACCAACCACAAGTGGGGCATCCTTCTGACTGTGTGCGGGGTGGTGCTGATGGACTTCAGCGCCGACTCAGCCGATAACCCCAGCCACGCATACATGATGGATGTGTGCGGACCCGTGGACCAGGACAGAGGCCTGAACATCCATGCTCTCCTGGCAGGTGAGTTCGGCCCTTCCTCTGGGCCAGGCTGGGGTGGGGCCTCCAATCAGGGCAGGCTGGGGGTGGAGCCTCCATCAGGGCCAGGCTGGGGGGGGTGGTAGTGTCTCATCAGGGCCAGGCTGTGGGTGGAGCCTCCATCAGGGCCAGGCTGGGGGTGGGGCCTCCATCAGGGCCAGGCTGGGGGGGGGTAGTGTCTCATCAGGGTCAGGCTGGGGCGGGGCCTCCATCAGGGCCAGGCTGGGGGTGGGGCCTCCATCAGGCCAGGCTGGGGGTGGAGCCTCCATCAGGGCAGGCTGGGGGGGTAGTGTCTCATCAGGGTCAGGCTGGGGGTGGAGCCTCCATCAGGGCAGGCTGGGGGTGGGGCCTCCATCAGGGCCAGGCTGGGGGTGGAGCCTCCATCAGGGCC